CACATCTAACAGAGTGTAGTGCTCTCTAAAAGAGTTAAAGGTTGCATATATAGTTTTAATTTTGTGGAATTAATATTAGACGAGAATATACAAAATATTGTACAGTTTGAGAGAGACTGACAACCCTAGTCATTATTGATATAGTCAGAAACCTAGAACATTAGAAACATGAGATCATTGACTTACTTTGTTTGTGATTTTTCATCTTTATCCTTGAAACATATTATAAGCTTTTCATCTGTCTCATCCACCTTTTGCTTCACATCTAATATTTTCCCATAGTTAAGCCTACAACTTTGCTCATCATTGCTCTTTCTTTTTTTTGCATGTTTAAGTACCAAATAACTACTTTTGAACTTCGTAATAGTCCTCATTAGGTCGTCCAATAACAAACTATCATCATGCATCTGTCTGTTCTTTTTTAGTATAGTGAGTAACATGGTGGAGACCTTATTGAACTCATTCTGTTTACCACATCTATGTCTCTCTAAAAGAGTTAACATATATAGTCGAGAATATACAAAATATTGTACAGTTTGAGAGAGACTGACAACCCTAGTCATTATTGATATAGTCAGAAACCTAGAACATTAGAAACATGAGATCATTGACTTACTTTGTTTGTGATTTTTCATCTTTATCCTTGAAACATATTATAAGCTTTTCATCTGTCTCATCCACCTTTTGCTTCACATCTAATATTTTCCCATAGTTAAGCCTACAACTTTGCTCATCATTGCTCTTTCTTTTTTTTGCATGTTTAAGTACCAAATAACTACTTTTGAACTTCGTAATAGTCCTCATTAGGTCGTCCAATAACAAAGTAAACCTAAGTGTGACCTGTTTTTACATCTATGAATAAGAAAAAGAACAGTTCCTCCAGGCTAATAGGAGTATAGTGTAGACCTATCTAGTCGGCTCTGTAATGAGCATTTCCTCCTGTTTTTCTTATCTTTTGCTCTTGCTTTCTCAGTTTACTCTTACTTTTTACTTTTCAGCATGGATTAATGTGTTTCATTTCACTTGGCCTTAGTATATAAAAAATACTGAGAAAGGATGATATTTAACACAAGTTATATTAATATACATACATGAACCCATATTGTATAATTGGAGAATGCTGTGCATATCTGTTTCTAGGCATAACTTGACAGATACACAGCGCAATGCATTGTGGGGGAAATACAAGTACTTGGTGAACTATCTTTACAATCTCAGGTTCTTGGTGGGTCTCTTGGGTGGTAGAGGGCCACATATATCTGGAGGTGATTGCCTAGCTGTACAGGCGAGCTAGTCCACTGCCCCTATTCCTGCACTTTGGGAGCTTCAGTATGGAGGACAGTTGATCCTTCATCTCCATTTGCTCCACTATATTTTGAATTGCCACTAATTAATGTTGACATGGCAGAAAATTTTCAGTAAATAGATAATTCAGACACTGAAGTATATAGCACATCTCTTGCCTTTAGTAGATATGCTGCTTAACAGAAGTTCAGTGTTATGTTATTTAATATGTCCCTTGGGCACAGCCTCATTTTAAACCACATAAATGCAAGAATGTCATTGAAAATGGGATATTTACCACTTACCTTGAAATCTTCATTCATAATGAAGAGTAGTTCATACAAACAGTATTTCACTTCACAGGTGCTGGGTAGGGGGTGTTATAACACTGCACATGCACAAACTTGGAGCACTTGGCCAGTGTTTTCACTAGGCTTATAGTATATTGTTTGGTGATATTTCTAGTTGGGTTGTACTACAAAACTTTACCATATTGGCTTGTTCATACTTACAATTCATGGTTAAGTAGTGTGGGATATTGCAGTAGAAATGTTTCCTATGTTACAGACCCGTATATGCCACAGAATTCTCACCCTTGCATTCGCTGCTCACCAGTCCAACCAACCTCTCTCATATCTTCTAATAGTCAGTTGATGGCTGTATTTTTTTATCACTGCTTTGATACATAGTAAATAGCATAACCAGAAGAGCTCACCAGGACAAAACCAACAGTTCTAGAGAGACTATTAAGCATAATACTTATGCAGACTTGTTTTGTATTTGGCATGCAATATTTCTACTGCTTTTTATTGGAAGTTGCTGTCAGAGCACCACTTTATCATTTTTTCTCAAAAGAGATTTCATAGAGTGCATTGCCATTTTCTATCTTTCCTGAATTTGAACAAAGTATAGTTCACATTTTAATTTCTTTTGACAAGGATATGGTATTTCAATTGAATGGGTGTCTGAAAATATATAGATGTGGATTTATTTTGGTTGCAACCTTCCTATGGAAAGGATGAATGTGTAAATATTTTATTCATAGATACAGCTCTACTTTTAAGATATAGAGCCCTTTAGTTAAAGATAACTTTGGCTACTTGTTTTGGGGGGCAATGTTGAACGAGAAGGGTATTCTCAGAATAGGGGATATTTATTTATTATTATTTATTTATACAGTGGTTTATTTGTAAATATTATGTTTCTTGTTATCATCAGTTGATAGAAGTTTGAAATAGTATTGAGAATTAAATGATATTACATTATTTGGGGATTTTTCTTATTATTAGGTTTTTAACAAAATTAGATATTTATATTTATGATAACTATTTTTAATGTAAATGAGTGTTACATGAAATACTTTTCCGTTTTTCATCTAACAGGCAATAGAAGAAGTATATGTAGACCATCTACATTCAGTAAAGTCACCAAATCCGAAGTTAACCTTCTGTGTGAAGACCTTTGAACGCACCTTCCATCTAATGGCCCCCTCTCCTGAGGCAATGCGCATTTGGGTTGATGTCATCTTCACTGGAGCTGAAGGTTACCAAGAGTTCCAAGGAGGCACTTGAGGAGATTTATTTATACTATGGCATAGTATGAAAATGAATTAGCTTTGTTATCCTCTCTGCTTGTATGCATATTTTCATAAGATTTTGGATGTCTTAAGACTAATGAAGTACTGAATTATCAATTTGTATTCCAGAAGAAAAAACTTTAAAACCTTTTGAATTTTTTGATGTGCCAGAACTACCAAAATTTCACTTTTATATATTATGTTACAGAATGTGAAGCATAATAGGTGGTCTTGAATGTCTTGTAAATTATTAATTTTTTTATCAGTAGTTTAGGGAGCTGTAACATATAACATTTTACCTTTTTGGTGTCAACTGATATATGCCAAGATGAGAGGTGTCAATTTTTGGACTCTATACACACTGTTGTTTTGGATGCATAATTCTGTGTTTGCCAAAGAAGGACTTCTGTTGATTTAAAAGTAAAGGCAAACATAATTGCTCAGAGTAGACTAAAATCTATGTCCCTTCTGAGCCACTTTAAGTTGTTTTATATTTACATGTTATCTAACAAAACGGTTCAACACATATTTATTTGTGTATTTTTTATCTAACCCAAAAATTTGTCACATTTTCACTGTACTCAGATTTTAGTCGCAATTATGACTGTATTTAGGGACATATTTGTAAATTATTTGTACTTTTATAAGGCATTCAAATATTATATTTTTCTTGCTGCTCAACATTTTACTTATCCAAACAAATATGAGAAGTGTTATTTTCATGTTATATAGAAAATATTCACCTGGTGCATTTCTACATAATAATATTTAGTAGATGCATTATGAAATGAAATCTGCATCTTCTAGGTAAAAGACCATTAATCTAAATTTGATTCTTATGCTTATACAACCTAAGTAAGTGTATTTTCATGTTGGGTACAGTCACAGTATATTTTGTTTGATCTCTTTCCTTTTGTAAATTATGCTGGACATGGTTTTCAGGCACCCCAAAAGTTGCATTAATTGTATGAAATATTCATGTTTTTTTTTTTGTTTTGTTTTGTCAAAAGATGCCCATTGAGTGGGACACATAATTTTTAACATATGTAATATCATATTCGTAATATATTGTTTAGTAAAATTAAATTTTATGAAAGATAATTTAGAAAACTTTGTTGAAATACTTCACTTCAATCTGAGGATCTTTTGTCTATTTCCTTTTTTCATCACTGACCATTCATAAAGGGCATGCAGTTACTTAAAAAAGTGCATATTCACATTTTAGATGTTGAGTTAGAGCTGTCTGGCACCAGCATATCTAAATGAATTTTCTAAACGGAATGAAATACCATCTCTGTTGAAGAAAATTTGCTTTCCCCATTTCTTTTTATATGTAAGCTTTGTCAGTAATGGTAACTTTGAAGTGCTAAAATTGGGTTGTCCATAAGTATACAAATGAAGGCAATGTGTTAATGACTTAAAAATCTTAAATAAATTTTCATGTTGTGAATTCTTAGTTTGATTTATTCCTGGAGGAGCTTATGGTTCACTATGACTACAAAAGTAGCCAGTATAAAATCAGATATGTGTAATGACCTTGCTTGTTGTTGTGGGAGGGCTTAGGAGACGGAGACTGAGGCCCCATGTAGTGGATCACCCCTACCTTGGGCCTCTCTCCTTGCCTCAACCAATTTTGCCTAGTCTTTTCTTTTCAACTTTCCTCTTCTGTATCTTCATCCCCTTATTCTATCTCATTCCAAAGGTGTGAGAGCCCTGCTGAAAGGATGAAAGGCTGGCTTTGTATTAGTCATAAACAGTCTCTGGGAGCCATGGGCAGGGTATTCATTTAGGTAATTGCCTAGCCCTTACCCATTATGGGGACCCTGAAGGGTAGACCATTTCTTTTCCTCAGGCTCACCATGACCAAAAATGATCTTCACCAACTGGACTATCTAAATTTGATTTTGATGGTTTTCTGACCCCTACTCCTCCTTTGACCACAGCTCCGACCACTGATAGTAATACCCCCTCTTCAATGCTTAATAACTTGAACAAACCAAAACACCAACCCAGGTTATTACTCAACCTCCAGAAAGCACCCCTTCCTCTCTCCCAACATTCTCTCTCCATTTCCTACTGCACAGTTCTCTTCAATGTCTACCCACTCTTCCCTTATTACTATTCTTTCTCCTCTAGTGCC